AGACAGAGTTACTTTCACATTTATAATATTAATAAAGAAATAAGGATATTTAATTGGACTATTCATAATTCCACATTTCATATAACTACGTTCTTGTGACAACTGTGGTTACCGGTAAGAGTTTTGAGATACATTCGTTAAAACATTGAATACTATCACACCTATTTCACCTATTTATTATAGTTTTAGTTAGTAAGTCTGTGGTATTTTATTATAAAATTAAAAAGTTAAAAATCACTTGGTTTATTTTATGAATGCAATTATTAATATAGCTTTTCTTCTGGTGGGTCGTCAATTTGGTACTATTTTTAATTATATAAAAAAAGTAAGGTAAACTGAAGGGTTACGGAACTTCAAGCCTGAAGTTCTGTAAATCGTTGTTTAATGTTTAAATCATAAAATATTTTAGAACGTATAAAAAGAAAATACTTTTATTTACTGGCAACATAAACTTGTTTTAGTGTAGTAGAAAACACGTCCGTATCGGTGAGTATTTCTAACAAAGAGCACAGCATTGCCATTACACAAAATTGATTACATAGTTGTGTTGGGTAGCCAACTACAACATTTGTTTTTAGAAAGAGCAATTGGAGTGACTAGTGTTAAATGTTTACCTGAGTAGGAAACAGAAGTCACTAAAATGCAGATAATAAATTAGTATTGTTTTTACAGTAGGTAAATATATTTTTGTATAATGCAAAAAAGAGAGATTAATTAAGAATCATAAATTATTATAATTTCTGAATATTGAATTACTTGTGATTACTGGCTCATTTGTATGAACATAAACAATAATTTTCCCAATGAAAAGAGTTTTAAATTTAAAGTTTAGTTTTATTTAAAAATAGAATTCAATTTTAAATATTCTATGTGACTATTAAGTATCAATCATGGGAAAATAAAAATTCAAAAACAATGTTCATTAAATTACTTTAAAATGCCAATAAAAATCAACAGATCATTTTATATAAGCACAGTCTAATCTAGTGAACGGAGAATATAGGATTTTAATATTTTTTTCAGAATTTCAAATGTAATATATAACACTTTTCCTGTGATTTTCCTTCCTTTTTTTTGAGACAAAAGATAACCATGTCTTTTCTTGTCAGACACCTTACTTACCTACGTTCCATAGATAAAAATACAAATAATATTTTGAATAGTCACGTTTTTTTTCTTTTGTAATATAATAAAATTTTATTCTACTGGTGTGCCGCCAGTTGTTGATGCATAGATAAGAGCATATTGTAAAATATACAATTATTGGAACTACAAAGGAGCATAACAGAACAATCGGCTATGTCTATGTGTTTAGTCGTTTAAAAAATAACAAATAGACAGAAACACTTTCACATTTTAATATTAGTACATTAGTATTTTTTTAATAAATCTATTAAGATATTCAAATTCACAGTCTAAACATTTTCGAAACTTTCCTTTGCCTCCCTCGCTGGGGAGCTAAAACTAAACGCATTTACAATATTAGGGTACTTTCATTTCACTATAGTTCAGTACTTTGAGGGGTAAGTCATTAGAGTTCCACCGCAAGTTGGACCCCTGTTGACCACTAACCTATTATAAGTCAATAATAGACAGAATTAGTTCTGTAGTTTAATTTACATTGGTTTCAAACTTACAACTAAAATGGAAATCGACACCGTAAGTAACTCAATCTGTATCTGAAAGTGTCATATTAAATTTACGAGTCGTAATCATTTATTCACGGTAGTGTTAAAAAATTAATTTAATATTATATTATACGGCCATAATTAATTTAATTCTGTTGTAATTAGTAAATTTAATTTAGATATTTACACTAACACGCGCTCAGCCATAATTACCTCGACTATTTTATAATTAGTGAATTTATTATGGTTATGTTTGACATTCAGTAAGACAAATAATATTAATCTATTCACAATTTGACCATTCTTCAACGATAAACAAAAGAGTATATATGTATGTGATATTTCATCAAATACAATTAAATTAAATTCCATTTAAAAGTAAAAAATAAATTTTAGGGATGGACAACCCTTATCACTTAGGGGTATGAAAAATAGATAGTAGTCGATTCCTATTGGACCTATTTTAACAGCCCACCTGTGCTAACGGTATACGTTCGTGTAACACATTATAGGATGACATGCTGTCAGTTCAGTTTCTTAATCGTAGCAAATTCTGCAGTAGTTTATTACGATGATTTCCAGGAGTACCGCGTGCAGATCGAGTTAACATGTTTATTGCTAACTCTTTGCACATTTTTATGTGTTTATTTTTCTACCTATTTTGAATGTATTTTCTTTCAGAATTGTCATATATTTTTATTGTCACTTTATGTCTTACAACCATTTGTACACGTATCTTCATTATAAGTATTTACCATTTTCTATCCATTGTTTGATTTACATCACACATACAGTCCACTCATTCTATCACCAACATTTTGGTCCTACTTCGGTAGATTTCCAACATTTACATCCTACAATGTTTTTTTGTGTAATAGTTATTTCATGTATCCATAAAAGTAATTAGCTTGTGTTACATGTTATTGTTTGAAGACATATAGAATTATTCATTTATATGTACTACATATTTGCTATCTAGTTTATAAATAAAGGTCTCTGTATCACACAGAATACTGGAGAATCCCAAAGACTTATATAATGGCCCAATTAAGTTACCGACAAACAACTTGTTTGCTCTTAGGTTAGGTAAAAGACTAAACTGATTTACGCGGACTCCACTACAAACACCAAACTATAACAGAATCTATTCTTGGTACTTTTGTTACCATTTATTCAGATAACTTGGTGTATATAGGTAATCTCTTCTAGGTGATAGCTTACCGGGCTTGATTTTATTCTATCATCTTCTTACTTTTTTTAATTATCTAGTAGTAGATTATTAAAAAAAAAGTAATACGTGTGGAGGACCGATCGTCGTGGAGATCTATGGGGGAGGCCTTTGTTCAGCAGTGGACGTCTTAGGGCTGCGATGATGATGATGAATACGTGTGCCGTAGAAAGGGGAGCCAAAGTTGTGTCGCGTTGCAGATAGTAGAGAACATATGAGTACTTTAGTTCTTTACTAAATATATTTAATATACTAGCTGATCCCGTAAATATTGCTTTGCCATATAAACTAAAAACACTATTAAAAATAGGGGTTTATGATAGGAGGGTGAAAATTTGGGGTTGCATGTATTTTTTAACGCCTCATTATAAAATTAAATTTTGTCCAAACAATAAAAATTAATGTTAGGGGTGGACAACCCTTATCACTTAGGGGTTTGAAAAATATATAAGATTTCATAAAAATTGGTCTAGCCGTTTCTGGGGAGTATGGTAACTAATATTATGATACGAGGATTTTAATATAAGATATATAAGTATATCTTATCATCTTCTCGCCAGCATATACCATTGGCATAAATATATTACAAAAAAAAAATATATGTAGAGAGGAGGATTTATTCACCACAGATTGTATACAATAAACTTCCAACATGAGTATTATTAAAGATACAAAACATGCCTATATCATCCACATATTATTATATACAAGTAACAAACATACACAATAAGGACAAACATAAAATAAAAACATAATGCTGTACTCACGACCTTGTGCATTACATACATTCTTCTGTATTGCGATGGCTCTCTGGAGACGCCGAGGTCAGGGATGCCAACTGTACGAAGTTCCTCGTACAAATACGAGATTTTTAATCTTTGAGTACGAGAAGATATTTATTCTCGTACAATTTTGTACAAGATTTAGAGATATGCAAATTGTAGCCGTCACGCAGGGTGCTTTGTATGCTGTATTTCGGTGGTAGGGTACTGATTCGGCAGTGAAATTACAGAATAAGAAGATTGACATCTTAGTCTCTGGCATAGTAATGCATGAGCGGTATCATCGCAAGTGTCACATGATAACGTGATGTCCGTAGCCTATCATGTATAATGGTAACGGTTATCACTTACCATCCGGTAGGTCGTCAGCTTGTTTGCTATTCAAATTGGAAAAAAGAAGCATTTCTCACTACACCTGTAATATTTGAAATCAAATAATAAATAAAATTAATAAATCCATACTTTCGTGATTATTAAAATATGTAGGCAATAAATATAAATGTATAAAAATTTCTAGTTAAGTTACAATGTCATGAAAATTATTATTTAGTAATTAAAGGAGATGAGATTAGTGAGAATTTTACGAAAAAATATATTTAAATATGGAGGCAAAATATAAAATAGTACCTATTAATTGTTTCTTACTTATCTCTTGTCTATCCCTCATTCTCACCACTCGATAACAATATGACTGTACGAAAATGTACGAGATTCTCTTATTTATTTGTACGTGGTAATAGTTTCTGAGGATGACAACCCTGGGTCATGCTATTTCGCAAAATAATATCAAGCCAAATGCGAACATATGTAGCAAAACGAATTACAAATGACCGTGTCCCGTTCGTTCCGCAGGATGAAGTCGGGGGTTAGAAAATAATTTTGACGCCATTTTTTTTGAGTGACGTAATAGGCAGTGTGTTCCCAATTGCCTGGAGTTCATAGGATTACTTTTTTATTAATTAAACGAAGATTGCTATTGAAAATTTGCTGGAACTTTTTAGCGAGGTATACTTTGTACATATTAGGTACGGACCTTCAGATGATACTAGCTGTTACCTGCGGTTTCGTCCACTTTTGAGACAAAACATAGCTCAAGTCTGTTCACGTTACATCTTGATTTGACGTTTAATTTTATTTATATTAATTAATATATATATATAATATTTTCCATTACGAAGAGCGTGACAGTGCTTGTTTAAATCTATTATTTTTAATATTAATTATTGCATCTTTATTTAATTTTCTATCTACCGTCTGTTGACGTGTATTAACTTAAATAAAACGAGAATACCATAAGTGTTTGAATATATTTCTTTAATTTGTTTCTTTCAGAATCATCCTCAGAAAAGGTAGCAGTTTGAGAAGAGATTTATATAGAGGTAAATAAATAAATTCACCTTATTATATATACATTAATGCTACAAGGTCAGAAATGACGGAAATTTAAACTTTTTATTTCTTTGCTTTGGTGTTTGGATATTTTACTTGTACAGAAAGTACAAGTATATTTACTAGCTGTGCACCAGTAGAGAGGATCATAGATAATAGGATGATCATGAATTCAGATCAGTCAGATCATTGTGGTGAATGTAACAAGAAATAATCACGGTTATTTAGAAATCCCCCTTAGAAGGGATCGCGTAGATGTCAACCAGAGATGACATTTTGAAATAAAAAAAATTTATTCATGTAGGACATTTTAGCAACTTGTAAACAGTTCAGCATACATATATAATTAATAAGAACTCGCAAGAAACTCAACTGTATTTCTTTTTTTTAAAGACAGATATGTCTAACGTTAATTGAAAATTTTGTGCGTGAACAACTATTGCCATACTGGTTTGTCATTGCTAACACTATTACTAGCACTGACAAACGTGGACAAAAGTTAAATAATCCCTTTTCCCCGTGTGTTATGCCCCTTCATTATGGACTTTTACTATCATAACACCTTTCATTTCGAATGTCCAGTCATTTACGCAGCTTTGGGCAGGGAGAGAAACGGGTCCAGGTTCTCTGTCACACAATGGACCCGGCACCCGCACGGTGAATCCATGAAATGCTAAAAAATTGTACTCTACAAAGTATAATAGGTTAAAATTGTAATGATATTTATTGAACTACAAAGAGTATGGATGTCGCTACAATACGTATAGTCCATTGAGATATAGCAAAGTTTATTCTCGCTTCGAATTTATTCATGAAGGGTACTCGCCCTGTGATTTGTCGTTTGGGAATTGCACCGCGGAGATTAGGTAGGTCGTGATGTACGTGTTTTGTTTTAAACCGTACTTTGTGGTTACTTGGCGATCGTAAAATGAATCTTGTTGCGACGAGGTGCGAATAGACGGAACACTATTGGAAATAAAAGAGAGAAATAAAATGTAAAACAAAAGCGCTCGTAACCGTCTTTAGGTATTATATATTTGTACAGGTTATGTTTCTTTTATTACTGGAGCGACAAATGTAGCAACTATTGACAGTGAATAAAAATAAATCTTATTATAATGATTATTATAAGTAACAACCTATACATCTGTATGAAATTTTATACACTTATATTTTCCTGGATAATTCAAAGCTTATTACATGTGTATTAGAGGACTTATACATGCAGGTTTACCCTTATTGTAGTACATTGATCTTACCCTTATAGTAAATAATCTGTATTGTTATACTATTTGTAATTAAGCTTATAAGTGTGTACTAAGATACAAGTAACAATTTTCTATCTATCTTATATAAATGCATAGATACATTTTTGTTTGTAAATACATACTTAATATGCTTAGAAAACACCTAGAACAATATACAGTATCATATGCATGACTCCAAAATGTATGTACCATGCGAGGAATTGAACTCGTGACCATTGAAAGCAAAGCGTCGGGCCACCTAAACTACAACAGTGGTTAAATATATTATGCATGTATTTATAAGAAAAGGCATCTAAATATATATATGTATATATCAGTTGTTTAGTACCCATAACACAGCTCTGCTTAGTTTGGCACTAGATGGTGCTGCGTGAATTATTCAAGGAATTAAAAAACAATCACCGACATTACGTCATCATGTGGACGTTTAACATGTCGTGCCTCCGTAATCTGTAATTTTACTGTCATCAATCAATTACTTTAATACCCATCCTTCCTTCCTTACTAATATTATGAATACGGAAGTAACTCTGTCAGTCTGACGCGCTTTCACACCAAAACTACTGAACCGATTTAAATAAATTTGGTACATAGTAGATAGAACTTGAGATAGGACATAGGCTACTTGTTAATACGTATATAAGGTTGTACGGGGTTGAAAGGGGGATGTAACATTATATGGAAGTGTCGTAATTTTTAAATCTAGAAGCTTGAAACTTATCTTTACTTAACGCGGACGAAGTCGCGGGCATAGATAGACGTAAAATATAATATTGCAATATCTTCTACCGTTCGGAATGGATAGTATTGTGTCTTTGTTGATCAATAGTGTTTACTTTCTTATTATTCACATACATATTACATCATAACTAAAATATAAATATTTAGTATCTGTAAACAAAATATGTCGATCTACGTCTTCTTAAGACCTAATATTCACAACCCAATATAACAGAAAAATAAATTATAAAAATCTTTATTCAAATAAACTTACTATAAGCAATTTTGAATAGTCATAATTTTATTGATTCTGCCACTCATTCGGAACTCAGACTCATCACAAGGGAATCTCCATAAAGACTATAGCAAGACTACAAAATGGTTATTGTCTAAAATTAATGTAAATTGAGAAGTGCAATTTAATATAACTTTTAATCTTGCAAAAGTGTCGGCGCTTTGTAGCAGTACTATAAATATTCTGTGGCTTGGTAAAGGTTATAAAATCTCACTTTGTATACGGAAAAAAATGTTAAAGCCAACTTATCAGCATTTCACTTTAGAAGCGAACAAAAACTCGATACCGTTCGTTCTTATACTCATACATTTTGTGAACCAGAATATATATTTTGTATTCTGGAATTACCAACGAAGGTCGACTGGAATAAAAGTAATTTGCGAATACCGCGTTTCCATACAAAATGGTTGCTTACCATAATCTCGAACTTTTATAAATGTGTTTTGTCTACGCATTTACATGTGACAATGTGGTTTGAATAATATTATATACTTTATATGCGATATTTCATTACCCTACATGCTTCAAATATGGAGCTTTTATGTAAAAAATATTTTGCAACGCGAATTGGATTTCTGTAACAAGTGGACGTGAAAAAGTCAGACAAACATGGCAGACTGACAGTTCATTTTCTGATACGTCAGGAGTCGACCGGCTCTCTACGAATAAAAAGTGCTCTGAAACAGGGTTATATCATACCGCGCGTATATGCTAGTCTGTACAAATGTACGTAATATGTAATGATATCATTATAGACATTTCATACAACGCCTTCTAATTTCAAGCTAAGTAGAGCTTGTGTTATGGACACTAAACGACTGATACAATTACATTTTTTCCAAATATATTCATATAAAATAACTAGTTCGATACAAACAATCATATTCATGAATACAAATATTTGTACCGTGCGAGGAATCGAACCCGCGACCATCGGAAGTAAAGCGGTGTGCTGAACCGCTAGACCACCGAGGCTGTCAAATAGGCAGAAATTACACATAGATAGCTACAAGTTTGAGCAATAATAGGAAATTCATCGCGGACGATATCTCTATATAAATCAAAATAAAAGAATAAAAAATCTGTGCCCTCTCAAGAGATTACTCAGCTTCAAAATGCTCTGTCATAATTTAATGGCGCGTAAAAAGGAATATAGGTGAAAGTTATGGAAAACTCGACGCTGTACTCTCACATGGAAACACATTAATATTATGCGCGAGAGAACTGCTGACAGATTAAGAACGATGAATTCGTACACGGCCGTTTGTTTATTTCAATATTTGTCACCTGGATGTTGTAATAAAATCTCCTTTGAAATTAATAACAGAGCCTGCAACTTATTAGACATACATATATTGTTATTAAATCGATTGGAATGTAACGAACAATAAATTTTAGTGAAGCTTAGCGTGAAACCCGCATCCAAAACTAATAAGCTAACTCTGAGATAGAACACAAACAAATAAAAACATACAAAAAAGCTCTGCTTACCCTGGGACTAGATGGCGCTGTGTTAATTGTTCAGGGTTATTATTTATATAATAATATAGTCTAACTTTACTGTTTCTTTTTTATATAATTGATAAAACTGATGCAAGGTAGCTATATGATGTACATAACGTTATCATGTGACGCCCATAATATCATTCTTGCGTTTTCATTCCGGAATTCTAAGACGTCATGCCTCTCATACTCTAATTTCATTGTCTTATCTCTCCCTTCTCATAGACCTCACAAATCTTCCATGCGGCTGTAATAACTGAGACAGAGTTATTTTCACACACCACTTTTTATAAGATCTTCTTCGATAGATTTAAATTTATCGAGGTAGATTTGTTGAATCTACTTTCCGAAAATGCAGTAGTAAGTTACTTAAGTTTATTTGAATAAAAAATATTTTTCTTATCCATAGTCTCTCGTACAGGTGTTTCGTAATTGGACGTATTGCGTGCAATGCAATTATACTGTAAATTTTTGATAGCCATTTTATGATCAGTAGATCAGACAATTTTGTATACATCGTCTGTTTTAGTCGAAGTTAGTTATGCAACAAAATATATGAAAAAAAAATTCTGAAACGAGCATGATGTACACTTAAAGAATGTAGACTTAGGTGATAAGTACATATTCTGCGTTAACCTGAAAACCACGTTGTGAAAAAGTGCCTTTGCATTGCTACAATAAAAAGAGGACGTGGCCGGTCACCACCTGGTTGACTAACGTACATAGCGACATGAAGGGCCTGTTAAATGACGATGCGTACCACCGAAACGTATGGCGCCTTAAGATTCGAAAAGCCGACCCCGCATAATGGGAAGCGGCGGGGTGAGGAAGAAGGATAATTTTTCTAAGCTTATTGCGTTAATGTTATTTTTGTCGTTGCAAACAAGACGGAGCTGTCGTGGATTAAATTTGTTTGATGTTTGCAGAAAATTTTCTGCCGTGAAATGCCTACTGAAACTTACTTAACCTTTTTCAACAGTATCTTCGGGTCAGTCATAAAAAAGTTATGTCATAAATCATTTATTTCCAGTTAAATCTGGGAACATCTGTCGAAGTATTGTCTGACAGTTAAAATCAAAAAGAGATTTGGGACTTGGAACGCTCGGGGCGCGCGGGATGATCGGGGAATAAACATTTTATTTCTGGGACCTAGTTTTATTTGTCAAAGGTTTATTGTTTACAATGGTGGACCACCAATATTCAG